TCCTCTAATAATCTTAGTCACTTTTTCCATGTAAGCAATTTAGTAACCACAGCAATGTTATGATATTGAATGGGGGCAAGAACATGATCCTTACAGATACGGTTTACGGATCCACTTTGAGAACCAGTGAAGGGATGGCCATTCTGGACAACTGAGATTTCAGCTCACTGAAGTTGTACCACAACTAAAATACAAATTCAATTTACCTTACCTGCAAAAACAGTTTGAGAACAAAATCACTCTTGAAACAACATCTCCGATTTTTCTGGTGAAGCAAACTTGAAATTTTTAGCATTTTGTAGTTTGTTTTTGTTAAATAAAGTACTGGTATAGCACTAAAGTCTGATTAGTATTATGTAATTATTTTTGTGGGTGATGAAGTAATTTAACCATGAATACACGTTTAAGCAGACTTAAACTACTGTATTGAATTGTTGGACACAAACTAGCAGACTTAACTCTGTGGTAAAGAATAAAGTACTTGATTGAGATGGAGGGACCAGCAGCACCCACTGAGAATGTAACTGATATTCACTCTTTATCCGCCTTGAAACACTTCAATAAGACATTTAAATTTACAATTACCAGGAAACTTTCAATTACCTTCTGCCAGCTTGAAAGGGTTTACGGATTCCTAAATGATTGGCTGCAGCTAGGAGGCTGAAACAAAATACCTAAAGAGTAAATTCATGGTCTGTTGCCTATACTGTAATTCATAAAATCAAACTTTCAGAGAACATATGTACCCTCCCCACTCATGTTAAGCTTAAATTGCTACAATAAGGGGCAGCAGAAGTAGCAGTTTTCAATTTTCTAATGTTTGTTTTCGGCTACATCTAAACTACACCCCGCTGTTGACAGAGGGATGTAAATTAGACTTATCGAAAGTGCAAATGAAGCTGGGATTTAAATATCCTGTGCTTCATCTGCATAATGGCAGCCACCGCTTTTTTCGAAACGGGGCTTTTCGGGGAAAAAACAGCAGTTCAGAGGGCATTTT